CACAACATAACTGGGTGATTATAAAGATGCTCTACAGATGTCTCCGATGGTGTTGGTTGAGTTGACATAGATCGAGATTAGGATTTGTCACTCCATGTATCGGAGAGGTATCTCTGGGCCCTCTCGGTAATGCACATCACTATGAGCCTTGCAAGCAATGTGACTAATGAGTTATCGATGGGAAGATGCATTACGGAACGAGTAAAGAGACTTGCCGGTAACGAGATTGAACTAGGTATGATGATACCGACGATCGAATCTTGGGCAAGTAACATACCGATGACAAACGGAACAACGTATGTGGTAATGCGGTTTGACCAATAAAGATCTTTGTAGAATATGTGGGAACCAATATGACCATCTAGGTTCCGCTATTGGTTATTGACCGGAGATGTGTCTCGGTCATGTCTACATAGTTCTCGAACCCGTAGGGTCCGCACGTTTAACATTCGATGACGGTTTGAATTATGAGTTTCGTGTTTTGATGAACCGAAGTTTGTTCGGAGTCCCGGATGAGATCACGGACATGACGAGGAGTCTCGAAATGGTCGAGACATAAAGATTTATATATTGGAAGGCTACATTCGGACACCTAAATGGTTCGGGTCGTTTCGGAGTACCGGGGGTTATCGGAACCCCTCCTCCCCCCGGGAAGTTAATGGGCAATCATGGTCCTTATCAGAGAAGAGAGAGGGCCGGCCAGAGGTTGCGCCCCCCCTCCCAGTCCGAATTGGACAAGGGGAGGGGGCGGCGCCCCTCCTCCTTCGTTCTCTCCTCTTCCTCCTTCCCTCCTTCTCCTTCTCTTGGATGGAAGGGGACTCCAACTAGGATTGAGAATCCTAGTTGGACTCCCCATTGCACGTGCCCCCTCTAGGCCGGCCTTCTCCTCCTCCTCCCCCCTTTATATACGTGGGAGGGGGCACCCCAAAGGACACACAAGTTTCTCTTAGTCATGTGCGGTGCCCTCCTCCACAGTTACACACCTTGGTCATATCGTCATAGTGCTTAGGCGAAGCCCTGCGCCGGTAAACTTTATCATCACCGTCGCCACACCGTCGTGCTGACGAAACTCTCCCTCGGCCTCAACTGGATCAAGAGTTCGAGGGACGTCACCGAGCTGAACGTGTGCTGAATGCGGAGGTGTCGTACGTTCGGTGCTTGGATCGGTTGGATCGCGAAGACATTTGACTACATCAACCGTATTATGAAACGCTTCCGCTTTCGGTCTAAGAGGATACGTAGACACACTCTCCCCTCTCGTTGCTATGCATCTCCTAGATAAATCTTGCGTGATTGTAGGAATTTTTTGAAATACTGTATTCCCCAACATGTTTGTATGTTGAGAGAAACATGTTCGAAGCCTAGCACGAAAGCAAGCCAAGTGTGCACTTCCTGCACACATTCAGTTGTGTCGTGCATGTGAAGGACACGCACCCTGGACTGAAGAAGTTGGCTGATCGGAGCCGGCTGATGATTTTTGTCGGCTACGAGCAAGGGACAAAGGGCTACAGTGCCTACGATCCGGCCACTCGGCGTGTCCCCATGACGCCGTCTTTGATGAGAACACTAGTTCGCTGGGACTGGAGCACCAAGGAGAGCGGCGTGAACACGTTCGGCAGCAACGACGCGTTCACGCTCGAACACCTGGTGGGCAACCCACCTGGAGTGCCAGCCACAGGAGGTCATTTCAAAGATGTCGCAACTAAGGGTGTTCGGATAGGCCAGAAGGATCCGTTTGAAAGCGCATTTTTTACATCCGTCAAATGACCCCCAATTTGTTTCCATCAGCCTCTGTGACCAATTTATTGCATTATGCCAAATATTTTGGATATTTGAAAAAATTTATATCTTCAAAAGTTTTTCTCGATAAACCAGATTGATGCAAGAAGTTGGAACCATTTATCCATCATCTAAAAAAACAACCAGTTGAGAGGTGTGTGTTAGACTAGGCCAGACAGATGCATCCGTAAGCATATAGTTTATTCTAATTTTAATGCATATGTTATTTGCAATTTCATCATTATCAATCAACTTGTACATTTTCTTATGTCCTAACCATTTCTTTAAATTTGTCAACAATTTTGCTATTTCAATTTCTGTATGAAAATTTTCTAAACTTCAAGACATTTTTCAAAATTGTTAATAAATTTTCAACAATTGGTGTTGAACAGAAATTTCAGACCACGTACTTTAAAAAAGAATATCAGCTTCTTTAGAAACGCAAACATTTCTTAAATTTGTGAACAAAGTTCAAAAATAGAAATATTTTTTTGAAATTTCAAACGATATTTTAAGGCAAGAACATTTTTTGGTGTTCCAAAGATTTTTTTACAAATCTCAAAAGAATAATAAAGTTCAAAAAAGAGAAAAATGAATTAACGAAAAATTAAAAATAAAAAAGTAACTACACGATGACATCGCTACCGTTGGGCCCACCCAAGCGTTCGCGGATTTGGAAAAAGTCATCTATTTTTTCATAAAAATATTGCAGATTTAAATAAAAAGTATTTTTTTGCAGATTTTCAAAAAGTATTCACTAAGAAGTACGGTGGAAATCCCTATTTGCCACTTGTTGCGACAAATTGTGGCTCATTCGCACACAAACGAGCGACCTACCGAATAAGATGGGCCAGGCCAATTATGAGATAACGCATGTCCTACAGTATCGGTTTTGGAAACCTTCTAGTAGGATCTTGAACCGGTTTTCACAGTTTTTTGTTTTTTATATTTTCAAAATTTAGTATGCGCATTGAATAAAATGCTTCAAAACTTTAAATTTATGTTCTTGTTCCAAAGGCTGTTCAAAATTCAAAAAATGTTCCAAAGGCTGTTCAAAATTTAGTATGCGTATTGAATAAAATGTTTCAAAAATTGTTTGTGTTTCCAAAATATGTAAAATTCAAAAATGTTTGCTTTTTAAAAGAAAGTTCGCTCCGATACCTATCGGTTTTCAAAAGTTGTTCATGTTATAAAAAATGTCCACTTTTTGAAAAATGTTCAAAGTTCAAAAACTATTTGTGTTTGGATAAATGTTCACTACAGTACCTCATATTCTGAAAAGTTTGTTCGTGTTTCAGAAAACATTCATGTTTTAAAAATCTTCAAAATTCGAAAAGAAGTTTGAGAGTTTCAAAAAAATGTTCAAGTTTATTTTTTTTTTGTTCACAACTTTTTACGAAATATCTGGGTCTAACAAATATTCACTTTTTCAGAAATCTTTTTCGCTTCTTTTAGGATCTGGCGATGTTGTTAATTTCTTTTAAAACATTGCGCTATCTAAATAGTCACAAGCGCTTGTTAGAGCATCTCCAACATAGGCGCAAAAATATCAAGGGCTAAAATAGTTTTACAACCCCACTGTAGCACTGTTAGCGCGCCGCGGTCAACATTGGTTTTCCACATGTCCAAAAACGCGCGCCCAAAAAAACACGCAGTGCAAATTATAAAGCGCGCGCGGTCCGGCGCACAACATTTGCAGCGTGCGATAGTGCTTTTAACCGTGTGGGTTAAATTTTTTTGCGTCCGCACTATTTTGCAGCATCTGATGGAGCGTCTCTGGCACCCAAAGAAGACGGTTTTTAGCGTGGGGATCCATTTTTTGGCACCTGTTGAAGATGCTCTTAGTTATAGTGGCTATCAGCTTGCTATTTGCAGCAGGAGGTTCTGTGTTCGAATCCTCGCCTAGCACTATTCTTTTTGCGACATATTTCAATGGACATACAAGCGTACATCATCCGCTAATGGGCCGGTCCATCACGGCATACACAGGGCGTACAAGCGTACATCATCCGCTAATGGGCCGCTCCATAACGACATACACAGGCGGCGGACAAAGTATTTTCTAAAAAGATAATCCTATCCTTTATTTTGAAGGGGTGTGGAGAGATTTCATCCGTTGATGTGTTTAGAGAGATTGTTCCCACAGTTTTCCTTCTTCCTCTTCGATGATCGGCGACAAGCTAGCGGCGGGGTCCGTCTGACATGCAGGTAGTGCTGGAGCGTGGTCGTGTAGTCGTCGTCGTTCTGTTGCAGCGCCCCAGAATTTTCACCCTGATGGAGCAGTGTCCGGTCGCACCTTCATGCTGTGTGCAAGCCATCAATTATGTTCAAGAAGTGTGGCGGTGATGTTGCGAATTCAAGCCGCCGGCACCAGTGAGAGTGGCCGAAGGTGAAGTGGAGGTGAGGAGTTCCATTTTGTCAGCACCAGGGGCGGCGGACGGTCGGCGGCACGGGTTGCGGCCATGTGCCAGCTAATGTTTGATTCTCCATACCAAAAATTTAGATTTGCAAGAATGCATGTTCCAACCTTTGACAATTCGGGCCCGAGGGTGGTGGTTTTATCAAAGGTGGAAGAGTTTACGTAGGTACTCTCCCTTTGTCCATGAATAAGTGTAATTCTAGTTTCTGTCTTAAATCAAAGTTTTAAAACTTTGATCAACTTTATAGAAAAAATAACAACATTTATGACACTAAATAGTATCACTAGATCCGATTTGAAATTTACTTTCATAATACTACGCCAATTTGATGTCATATACTCCCTCCGTTTCGAAATATAAGTCTTTTTAGATATTTCAAATGAACTACAACATACATATGTATGTAGACATATTTTAAAGTATAGATTTACTTATTTTGCTTCGTACGTAGTCATCTATTGAAATCTCTATAAAGACTTATATTTTGGAACGGAGGGAGTATGTTATTATTCTTTTCTTTATAGTTAATCAAAATTTTAAAACTTTTGACTTAGGACAAAGATAGAAGTACACCTGTTCACGGACAGAGGGAGTACAGTATTACGATCAAAGGATGAACTGATTCAATTCATCATATACCGCGTATGATACATCTATGAGCACGTTCAGTACAATCACACCTATGTTTTTACACCACGAGAACCGGCAAAACAATTTTACAAGCGAGGGAAAAAATGAACAGCTCGATCCCTACGATCGAGCCACGCCACTACTTGACATCAGTTGATCGGCCGATCAGCCTCATTTCTTCCACATTCCACTGATCCTCCGGAGCACGTTGCCGTTCTTCCTGGCCGCCGCCGCGTCGTCGTCGAGCTCGTCGTACAGGCCCGCGTACTTGCCGCCGTCCAGCGACTCGCCGCGGTCCAAGATCTTCCCGTTGCCGCCCTTGCCCACGGTGAGCAACGCCATGGCGGTCTCGGCGGCCTTCCGCCACTGCTCGGCCTGCACCCTCAGCCGCCTCAGCTCGGCCTCCGTCTCCCCCTTCTTCGCCGCCTCCGCCGCCGCGTCGGCGTCCGACTTCTCGGGGACCTTCTCGGACTCGTACTGCCGCAGCTCGAGCTTCAGCTGCCCGTTCTCCTGCAGCGCGCCTTGCAGCTGCGCCTTCAGCTCGTCCGCCGTGCTGTTCGTTCTCGCGTCGTCCTGCAGCTTCTTGGTCGCGTCATGGGCGCGCCGCAGCTCGGACTCCCTGTCGAACAGGCTCGCCTTGAGGAACATGACCTCGGACTTGGCGCTCGCGAGCGCGGCGGCGAGCTTGCCATGCCGCAGGTCGGACTCGACCTTGATCTGGTCCATGAGCTCGTACGCGCATTGCGTCTCGACGGTGCTCAGGATCTTCTCTTCCTGGAACCTGGCCTCCACGTCCTCCAGCGCCGACCTCAGCTCGGCGGCCTCCGAGTCCGAGCAGTTGCAGCTCTGGCCGGCGGCGGCGGCGGCCTTCACCGACGTCGTCTCCGCCACCTCCTCCTCGAGGGCCTTGAGCTTCGCGCGCGACTCCTCGAGCTCCGTGACGACGAGGCTGAAGGAGTCCATCAGCTTGGAGCCGTCGGTGAGCAGCGAGTCGATGGTGGCCCGGCTCGCCTCCAGCTGCTGCTTGCACTCCTCGTGCAACGCTCGCGCCCGCGCCTCGGCCTCCTCGCTCGCGGAGAGCTTGGCCTTAAGCTCGTCAACGGTCGCCAGCGCCTCCGCCACCTCCTGCTTGCGGTCGGCGCGGGCGGCCGCGGCGAGCTGCACGCGGAGGCGGTGCACCTCGCCCATGGCGGCGACGAGCGCGGCCGAGTCCGCCTCGTGCTGCTTCTGCATGGCCTCCAGCTCCGACTGCCACGAGCGATCGCGCTCCTGGGAGAGCCGGCGGAGCTCGAAGATGCGGGTCTGCTCCACCGAGGAGAGCTCGGCGAGCTGCCCCCGCGAGTCGCTGGCCTGCGCGGACGCCTCCGCCGCCTGCGCCCTGGCCTCCTCGGCCTCCTGCAGGGCCCGCTTCCTGGAGTTCTCCGAGGAATGGAGCTGCTCCTTGGCCTTCTTGAGCTCGTCCTGCAGCTGCGAGAGCTGGGACTCGAGCTCCGACAGCTTCATGGGCGACCTCCTTTTCTGAAGTCATCAAATTCAGCAGAAGATTAGTGGTGTGTGCCAAACTCCAATCAGCAAACTCGTCGTGGCTTCACTTTCAACCATGGCATGATTAGCGAGGGATTAGTGATGGAAAGTTCTGGTATTTGGAATTTTAGATGATTGTCTTGCTGTGCATTACTGCCCCTGCCAACTTTCACCACTTTCGGCTCGAAAGAAAATACTTTCACCACTTCGCATCATCACACTGCAAGAGTTCTGTTGGCAGTTGTCCTTGCAGTAAGGCACGGATTTGTGAAAATTGGCGCGAACATTAGCTCGAAAAAATGATCATTTGACCAAGTAAGAACGAAGTATTTTGTGTGTTCTAAAGGTACTTGATTAGTACTATGCTTAACCTTCTTGTTTTTTCTGAAGACATAACCAGTACAGAGAATAACTACCGATGTAAGTACAGTGTCCCTCTCTGTCTGAAACTTTTATCTGGAGTTGGCCTCCGTGTTGCGGTAAATCAAACCATACTCGGATGATTACTAGGACAACTACTAGTAATATTAATATCGCTTAATGGGAACACTTCATTTTAGCTACCGGATAGAGGTACCTGTCTGTTTCAGTGTACTCGGAGTAACTGACAGTCTGCTACATCAAGAGCGGGACAGACCAATAGCCAACTACAGCGAACCGAGACAGTATCAACGTCGACAGATACAGGTATTGCCAAATCCGGGCAAAATGTGAGAAAACATGGGTGGCATTCAAGAACATGTAGCGACATCTCTTAAGTGCTCGTAACGAACTCTCAACAGTCTCTCAAAAATCCCTTTCTTTCTAATAAAGATTAAAAACAAATTGGAAGCAGAGATTCGTACCTCTCTTTCGGCGCTCATGGTGGTGCGGCGCTCCACCTTGGGGCTCCGGCCGGTGGGCGACTTGGTGGCCGCCGCGTCGACGCCGGAGTCCAGGCCGGCCAGCCTCGTCGGCCGGCCCGTCTTGCTTGCTCCGAGGGGAGACCCGCGGGCAGGGTGTTCCACGGAGCCATTCCTTCATGCCAAGAACGCACAAGTACAGTCAGTCAGAAACCTCAACCAAAAAAGGAAAAGAAAATCGTAAGGTAGGGGAAGCTAGCTGAGGCTGAAGTGAGGTTCCTTGCCTCACGGCTGTACTGCTCGAATATAACCTCAGAAAATGCATCTTGCTCAAGTACAGCATGACTAGAGGAGGAGGCGCAGGATTCCAGTGCCCCCCTTCATCCCAAACGCAGGGGAGAAAAAGTTCTGACCAGAAAGCAAAGCTCAAGAACCGCTCCGGATTCAACGGCTCAAAACACTTCAGCTCGAGCGAAGTGAACCAGATGCAGAGAGGAGAAGCCGCGAGAAGCAATGGGGAAACAAAGAATCCGAGGCCGGCCGAAAGCGGCAAAGGAGACCGACAAGAAGTGAATGGGGAGCAACCGGGCGAGCGAGCGAGCGAGAGAGACAGAGAGAGAGGGAGAGAGGCAGGCAGGAGCCGGGAAAGGGGAGGCGCATTAGCTTAATAACCTAATGATCCCCCGTGATATGCAAGCACGGGGGCGAGGCTTTACAGATGCGGGTTAGCGAGGGGAGGCAGGTGGACCAGCGCCGCACTGCGGCTCCTTTGGCCGCTTGGCGCCGGGCTCAAGAACCGGACAGGCGTTGCCCATGGCGCCATCTGCATTTCATCAAGAAAATGGAGCCATCTGCAAGCAGTCACGGCCACATGCGTGCAGTGCGGTGCGCCCCCGATTTTGAAAATTTTGGTCGCTTCCTGGCTGCCTCCGGCAAGATAGGTGGTGGTGTGTAAGGGTGGAAGCGTAGTTTATGGCCGCCCACACGAATGGTTAACATGTCACGGGGCGAAATTAGCGTGATTGGTTATGTTTATCTAAGGTACAGTAGTATACTGTAACGAGCATGCGATATTGGTGCTCCTGTAGCTGCAGGCCTGCAGCTGTTGAGAGCCTCTGTTTAATCTCCCTGAGCACAGAGCATATCAATCAGCAGTGCTGCCTCCAGTTCCAGTCCATTGATGAAGGGAGGTTCGAACACAGGTTAACTCTGCTCAAAACTTTGCGAGGGAGCAGAACAGTAACCGGATGAAGGCGAGATAGGAGAACAGCTTTGGCGTCAAGGGGAAGGTAGTAGTAAAACCGGTGCATGCACATTGACTGAATCCGTGCTCAGATGATCTGAGTATGGAAGAGTAGAATCTATCTAACATCGCGGAGACCGATGCATGGAGATAAACAAAGCATGGTACGCGTCAAGATAAGCAACGCATGGAGGAAAGAATCAAATAAGCGGCAGCACATGACGCCTCAAAACGGACAATCAAACTGCTAAAAATATCAAGCGGCACATGGATGGAACTCAGTGCTCAGTAGAGTAGAGGACGGAGGGGGAGGATGGCACGAACGAACGAACGGAACATACCTCGCCTTGGCTGTCTGCATGGCCGGCCGGCTATATCTCTGTTCCGAAATTTGATTGAGAGCCACCGGCACTGCTGGTATGTGTGGTTTGCCCACCTACAGGAAAGAAAGCTGCAACGAGACAAGCAGAAAAGGGCGGTCAGCTCGGCTCCCTCTCTGGACCGGAGGAAGAAGGCAGGGGGGAGAGGCCAAGAGAAGGCTAGCTAGACGCTAATCGCCACTTTGCTATGGCGATGGAGGGCGAGAAGGCCCTTTGTAGTACTAGTATCTCCTCTCCACATGCACGAGAAAAGCAACTAAATAATGGAGGGAAGCAAGCAAGCAAGCGTTGTAGTACTACTAGCGCATCATTCCCGGCTAGGCTTGCTTGCCGATTGCTTCCCCGTCTAACCTGGCACTAACCAGTGCACCGCAACCACTTAGCCACCCAACAGCGACGGCCCCGTGGCTTTTTAAACAGCACTAATCGGGAGGCATCATCCTTAAACCGGGAGGCGCCCGTTTCTTTAAGCTTTGCTTTGGCACGGGCGGCGATGATCACCGGCCGTCTACATGCATGGTCCCTTGCAAGATAGCGCACATTATACGCGCGCCACTACAACCACCAGACTTGAGCCCGGAGAGAGGTGCGGCCGAAGCAAGCGAGCGAGCAAGCAAGCAAGAATCCACCACCATCACCATGGGAGGCTTGCCCTTTTGTTTTGCTCACTATCTCTTCACCCTTACTCAAGCTCCCCACACACAAAACAAAATCAATGCAATGGTGCACATGAATGGTGGAAAAGTAGTTGGGCCAAATGGCAAGTACGTGTACATCCAGTTAATTAGTAGCTCGGGTATTAAATACGTGCGCACCTAATCTCCTTTCCATTAGCCAAAGCGCCCGAGAGAAATGAAAGGAGAAAGCAGAAATAAGCCATGCTTTTACCTCAGGATAAACTAACAGACTGAGTTATTGATGCCCACATGTATTTATGGGGTGATTGGTGACGACGAGAGACAAAAATCCCCAAAGCTTGGGGAGGGAGGGACGGCCCGAGAAGCTTTACAGCTTGTATCTGCCGGATACATAAGCAACCCTGTCGGCCGAACTAGCTTCTTTTTTTCTTGAGAAATGTCGGCCAAACGAGCTAGGCTGGTAGTGGGTGGTAGACATGGGCTTGCACATATATGTACGAGACGAGCTGGGAGCAAAATTGGAGGTCTCTCCATCGTGGGATGCATGTCGTCCCTCCCCTCTCGCCTTTGGACCGATTCCAACGGGGCACAAATGCGTGATGCAACCGAGCTAGCATGGATGATGCGAGACGCTGAGGGAGGAAATGCATGGCGGAAATGTGAAAGAAGGAGCATCAAATCAAACCTCGCCGGCCTGTCCTGTCGGGGACGGGAGAGCTCGGAATGGGCTGGGCGGTGCCTTTCCTCCTCTGCTGCCGTCGCCCGGGTCGCTCGGCCTTGTTCACGCCGTGCTCTGGGACGCCACCATTGCCGAAGAGGGGGCGACGGAGGGGTAGGGGGGCATCTGCTCTGGGGAGTAGGGTGTCATCATGCCCTTTTAAACAAGAGGAATGGAATGGAGACAGGTCGTGGGGATTTCGGAAGGCTGCAGGGGAACGCAACAGCACGAGGAAGAAGAACAATCACTTTCCGCGCTCAGGGAGCTCACGCGGCAACAAATCAAATCGAATCAGATCAATGTGGATGGATGGATCTTCATACCCGTCGTACAGTGCTCGGGCTTTGTTTTTGCAATATCCCGCCCGTTGTCAACTCCTTCTGGTGCCTGTCGCCGTTGGGGCTGGGGCTGAGGTTGAGCTCAACGACGCGCGACGGGGCTGTTGGTCTCTCTCGTCTCGGATAGCGTTCTTCCACGCTGGGAAACCGGAGCGCGCTAGACTAGGCTAGCTGCTTTACCAAAGCGTGGAGCGCCGCGTGCACGCTCGCCCCTGCAGAGGCGTCAGTATTTACAGTACAGTACGCTACGATCAAAGGTGAAAAAGGGAAACTTGTCCGGCAAAAAAGAGTGTCGCGTGGCGGTGTACTTGCGATGTGCGATTGGCGGATGCATGCAGACGGGAACGAAGACAAATATACTACATGCCACCGGATTGCGCGCTCTGACGACCCGTGTGCGCGCGTGTTTCGAACTTTTTACTGCCGAAAGGAACGAGACAGATCTACGCGCCTGTACCGTAGCAGAGGAGTCCCCATTGGTACCGAACTGTCGCAGGCCTGGGCGACATGGGGACGAGGACTGACCGGTCCAGCTCGCGTCGGTAACACGACAAGCGTACCATCCATCTTGCTCTCGAGCCCGGCCCGGACGGACGCGCGCATGCCGCTCCGCACGGGAGCGGGGACGCCGGCTACAGTACAAGCGTTGCGCGCGCGCGCGCAGCAGCCGCCGCCGTCGTCTTTTGGCCCGGCGCCGGGCAGGTAGGCGCCACCGCCAGCGGACGGGGACGGGACTCGACCCGTCGACCGAGAGGCACGTGAACTCGATGCCTGCCCGGCCGCACAAAAGTCCCGTGCTCCCGTCGGCATGTGACCGGGCTCGGGAAATCGGAGAGCAGCGGAGGCCTTTGCTTTGGCCGGCGTGGATCCATCGGGCCCGGCCGGCCACCGCGCGCCGTCTCTCTCCGAGAGCGAAATCTACCTTGGTTTTTACGACGCGCGCGGCTCCACCGTGCTCCAGATAAGATCTGCCGCCGAATCATGGCGAGACTGCATGCGCGCCGGCTCCACCGCCGGATAACGGACGCTGATTTCTCCGTGCAGTCGCAGTAGCGATGTCAGCTTAATTGCGATGTGGTTTTAGATAAGAGATGGTGATCTACTACTCGCCCGGACACCGGACCGGTGCGCGCACAGTGCGCGCCGCCGTGCCCCTACACGGCAGGCCCTGCTACAGTGCATATGGATCAGCGGCCAGTGGTTATCGTACGTACACTTGAGCGGTCCAACTTGCTTGCCGTTGTGTCCACTGCTCTCTGCTCCTGCTCGTTGACAGGCACCTCCGGTCGGCCGGCCGGCCGTCTCGCCCGCCCGCCCTCAGCGCACGCGCATTGAATGCGCGCACCCGCCCGTGTTGCGATCGTTGGTACTAACCACCGGCAAAGCAAAGCATAATGGTCATCCAAGGCAAGGCAGACGACATGGCGTTGTGTGTTATTACGTGGTACGTCCGCGTCGGGGCCGAGGGTTTCGTCCGCTGCTGGTTCGCTGTCGCTCGGTCGCAGGCCTCTCCTCCCCTCACATAGCTTCCCCTGATCGAGCTCCGCTAGGGCAGTAGGTCTTCTTTTGTTAGATAATAACGAGAAATAAACGAGACAAAGAGACACGGATTTTTACGTGGAAACCCTTGCGGAAGAAAGCCACGGACACACGAAGGCGCAATCACTATGAGGAGGAGTATTACAAGTACAAGACGATAGGCCGTCTGAGGTGCGACTACATGGGATATATAGGAGGGCAATACATGAGAGTCCTTGAAGGACAAGTAAACGAGTTGTACTCGTACGCGTCGACGTCAACGCAAAGGCCCACACCAGTTGTACTATGTCTAGTTTAACACGTTATAATTTGGATCACAATTTAACAATCTCCACCTTGATCCAAATTTCCTTCAATAGTCGAAGAAAGTGAATAGCTCCATCCAAATCAGCATAAACACCTTGTGCGTCAAAGTCCATAGGACTAGTGAGAAATACCAACTAAGCCTGAGCAAAGCTCAAACTTATTGGTCGGAACTGGCTTTGTC